AGGTAATAGAAATCAGTGGTAGATTAACCAGTTGACCTGTGATTGTTCTGAAATGGCAAGAATTCAGCTGGTGAGTGAACACTCCTGTCTTCAATTTGATTCTGCAGTGAATGGCATGAACACTCTTCACTTTCTTCTGATGTGCTGCTAGAAAATCATGAGTGCAAGAATGGATATATGTGAAGATATAGTTCAAGTTCCCTTGATTCACAATATTGTTCATTGTTTATAGTGATATGAACTGTAATTTTACAAATACCTTCAAGCTTGTTCTATGAGATTTCAACATGGAGAATGTCACTGAAGTTTCTATATTTGTACTGAAAGGCTTCACAGACAATGTTGAACTGCAGATCATCTTTTTCTTCTTGTTTCTAGCAATTTACCTCTTTACCCTCATGGGAAATTTAGGATTGATTATACTGGTCATTGGGGATTCCAGGCTTCACAACCCCATGTACTATTTTCTGAGTGTGTTGTCTTCTGTGGATGCCTTGTTTTCCTCAGTTATTACACCATATATGCTATTAGATTTTATGTCAAAAGATAAAGTCATTTCAGTCCCTGGATGTGCAGCACAGATGTTTCTTGCTGTTACTTTTGGAACCACAGAATGCTTTCTCTTGGCTGCAATGGCCTATGATCGCTATGTGGCCATCTACAACCCACTACTGTATTCAGTGAGCATGTCACCCAGGGTCTACGTGTCACTCATCATTGCTTCCTATATCGGTTGCATTTTACATGCTACAACACACATAGTGGCCACATTCAGCCTGTCTTTCTGTGGATCCAATGAAATTAGACATTTCTTTTGTGATATCCCTCCTCTCCTCGCCATTTCTTGTTCTGATACTCACACTAACCAGCTGCTACTCTTCTACTTTACTGGCTCTATTGAGATATCCACTATCCTAATAGTCCTGTTCTCCTATGGTTTCATTCTGGTGTCCATTCTGAAGATGCACTCTGCTGAAGGGAAACAAAAAGTGTTCTCTACANGTTTAAGGAACAATGATGTAAAATTGGCAATTCAGAAAGTTTTGGGGAAAAATTGTTTTATCAATAAAGTTCACTTTTTACATTGAGAATTAAATTGAAAAAAAATTGAGAAGATTATCCTTTACCTCAATATCAAAAGTGTATAATGAGATGCTTGTTTTAATTTATTAGTTTAGTTCTGTTCTTCTTGGACATTTTAGAATAAAGACCATGTGAATCCCCTACCTATATTGTTTTTACATGCAGTAAAAACAGTATCATATATTTTCATATTACTATGTTCATAAAATTTTATGTATATGCACATTATATATGTATATATGCACATATTTACACATGTGTGTCCTAGAAGCTAAGACTAACTCATGTACACAAAACACAAACACACAGACCTATATGTATATAGTCATTATGTCAAATTCTGTATATTATGTTTTTTTCTCCATACAACTCGAATTGTATAGGGTCCCATAGTTATAATTCTAAATAATATTATAGTTATATCTGACTGACTTGATCAAACACAACGTAATCCACAGGAAAAAAATATTGTTCACATAAGCTCAGGTTATTTTCTGTGGAGTCATTTTTGACTGACTCTTGATCAAAGCAGTCTGTTCCATACATA